TTTTTTATTTCTACCTTAATAGAACATAAAAATAACAAACACCCATTGAATGTTAAGGTAAAGCCCGTAGTTGTGTGAAGATATAAAGCGGACATGGAAGTTTGAGTGGGGAAAGGTAGAGGGTTTATATTAGATGTAGCGGACATGGAAGTTTGAGGTTTGAGGTAGGTTGAGTGGGGTGAGGTGGAGTGTTTATATGAGATGTTCCAGACAGGGTAGGTTGAATGGGGTGAGGTGGAGTGTTTATATGAGATGTTCCAGACAGGGTAGGTTGAGTGGGGTGAGGTGGAGTGTTTATATGAGATGTTCCAGACAGGGTAGGTTGAGTGGGGTGAGGTGGAGTGTTTATATGAGGTGTTCCAGACAGTGTAGGTTGAGTGGGGTGAGGTGGAGTGTTTAAATGAGATGTTCCAGACAGTGTAGGTTGAGTAGGGTGAGGTGAAGTGTTTATATGAGATGTTCCAGACAGGGTAGGTTGAGTGGGGTGAGTTGGAGTGTTTATATGAGATGTTCCAGACAGGGTAGGTTGAGTTGGGTGAAGTGGAGTGTTTATATGAGATGTTCCAGACAGTGTAGGTTGAGTGGGGTGAGGTGGAGTGTTTAAATGAGATGTTCCAGACAGTGTAGGTTGAGTAGGGTGAGGTGAAGTGTTTATATGAGATGTTCCAGACAGGGTAGGTTGAGTGGGGTGAGTTGGAGTGTTTATATGAGATGTTCCAGACAGGGTAGGTTGAGTGGGGTGAGGTGGAGTGTTTATATGAGATGTTCCAGACAGGGTAGGTTGAGTGGGGTGAGGTGGATTGTTTATATGAGATGTTCCAGACAGGGTAGGTTGAGTGGGGTGAGGTGGAGTGTTTATATGGGATGTTCCAGACAGGGTAGGTTGAGTGGGGTGAGGTTGAGTGTTTATATGAGATGTTCCAGACAGGCTAGGTTGAGTGGGGTGAGGTGGAGTGTTTATATGAGATGTTCAAGACAGTGTAGGTTGAGTGGGGTGAGGTGGAGTGTTTATATGAGATGTTCCAGACAGGGTAGGTTGAGTGGGGTGAGGTGGAGTGTTTATATGAGATGTTTCAAACAGGGAAGGTTGAGTGGGGTGAGGTGGAGTGTTTATATGAGATGTTCCAGACAGGGTAGGTTAAGTGGGGTGAGGTGGATTGTTTATATGAGATGTTCCAGACAGGGTAGGTTGAGTGGGGTGAGGTGGAGTGTTTATATGAGATGTTCCAGACAGGGTAGGTTGAGTGGGGTGAGGTGGAGTGTTTATATGGGATGTTCCAGACAGGGTAGGTTGAGTGGGGTGAGGTGGAGTGTTTATATGAGATGTTCCAGACAGGCTAGGTTGAGTTGGGTGAGGTGGAGTGTTTATATGAGATGTTCCAGACAGGGTAGGTTGAGTGGGGTGAGGTGGAGTGTTTATATGAGATGTTCCAGACAGGGTAGGTTGAGTGGGGTGAGGTGGAGTGTTTATATGAGATGTTCCAGACAGGCTAGGTTGAGTGGGGTGAGGTGGAGTGTTTATATGAGATGTTCCAGACAGTGTAGGTTGAGTGGGGTGAGGTGGGGTGTTTATATGAGATGTTCCAGACAGGGTAGGTTGAGTGGGGTGAGGTGGAGTGTTTATATGGGATGTTTCAGACAGGGAAGGTTGAGTGGGGTGAGGTGGAGTGTTTATATGAGATGTTCCAGACAGTGTAGGTTGAGTGGGGCGAGGTGGAGTGTTTATATGAGATGTTACAGACAGGGTAGGTTGAGTGGGGTGAGGTGGAGTGTTTATATGAGATTTTCCAGACAGGGTAGGTTGAAGGGCGGTACTGTATGTTAGACGTAGCGGACATGGATTTCGTTAATATCTAGCTACGAGTACCTCATACAAGAACGTACTTGAACAAGCACCAGTGAACAGTGTGATTCCCTAAAAACCAAAAGATGTACCTAGTTCATCAAAATATTTCGAATGAAAATGATTTTGTCAGGAGCTAACTTACCATAAGATGCGAAAGAGGTTTATTAGAAACTAAGACAGACAGCAAACTACGGTTATAACGAACTAAGAGGTATCACTAATTTTAGTTCGTTATAACCGTAGCTCGTTATAGGCACATATACAGCCTATATACAGCAAATGGACGGGACCCCAAAACAGTTCGTAATATCCGTCAGTTCGGTATAAGCGTGTTCGTTATAAACGTAGTTTAGTGCATCAGGTCGTAAAAGCGGTTCAGTAAATACATAAGGGGGTGGTGTTCATTACATTATCTTATGTTTGTAGCGTAAATCAAGAATGCCGTCACCATGTTTGAGCGACATAACGGAATATTTACAGGACGCTTCTATCACTTTAGTCGTTTGTACACGAAAGGATAATTCATTTTAACATGTAATGGGAAGGTTTCTCGACATGATAAAGCCAACAGATTTAAACGAAATCATAATGAATAAGAAATTGATATTTGTAATGCGCATTAGTCCATCCGTTGACGCATGCTCAAAGTGCTAGCACCAATATTATTATCAATGGAACGGATTGCCTTTCTCAGCCCCCAAGGGAACAAAGAACCAACGCCTTCCTGTGAGGCGTTAGAAGAGTCATACAACATCTCACCCTACCGGGTACCCTTTCACTGCTGGGTAAACACAGGCAAATTTCGAATATTCCGTATATGCTACATGTGTAACCGGCACCCTAGAAACTCTCGGTGCTGTAGGTAGCCTAGCGGTTTAAGCGTTCGCTCGTCACACCGAAGATCCGGGTTCGATCCCCCAAATGGATACAATGTCTGAAGCCCATTTCTGGTGTCACCTGCATGCATATTGCTTGAATAATGCTATAAGCGACGCTAAACCTTACTCACTCACTCACTCACTCAGTAGAAAGTCTCCGGAGTCAAGCTGCGGAAAACGATCACCTAACCAAGGGCCGACGTTGCTTAACTTCGCCTGATTTGTGACATGCGCGCTGTGCACAGGAGCACGTGCCTACACCCCGTTTTCCGTGGGGGTCATCACAATGCAAATAGCGGAGCTCAGTTTGGGACCAGTTTCAACGGTTACAATCACACATGACATCACCTTTGATGCGGTTACCCCTAATCTCACACACGGAATTTAATGATTCAATAACTACACGTTTTATGTGAGATACAAACAATAATACGTTTTTCTGAATTCACAAAAAGACTTATTTCTATTTGACCTACAAGATGTATTGACTACTACTAATGTTTTGGGAAACTGCGGGAGCTTTAGATTAAATGATGGCGTCGCCACTTCTGCTGTGTCACGTGATGTCTACAAAGCCCAACACCCTTTTACTCTCTAAAGAATTCAACCTATATTCATAAACTTACTAACATACTTCAGTATAGAAAAAAAACTTAAATTAGAGTCAATCGCATTCGGTTACAAATCAAATTCCATCAAATCTCATTCATTACAGGGGGCACGGGTGGCCCAGTCGTCTAAGGCGCCGCGATTCGCTGTGCAGAGTTGCGTCCCTTGGGCACGCCAGAAACCTATGATTGTGGGTTCGAATCCCGGTTCGCCCCGATTATGTTTCTAGGTTTGTCAGCACCATACCCGTGCTCGTGGGTTTCACCGAAGTGGTAAACGTCTGAGACCTGCATCCCTTCGGGCTTTCCTCCCACATTAAGCTGACACGCCGCGATACAACTGGAATACTGTTAAAAGCGACGTTAAACCAAACTCACTCACACACTCATTCATTACAGACTTCCAAAAGCAACAAAGTGCCCGTTTTACAAGCTGACTTCAGTAATGTATATTAACTCGTCTTTGTAAGTTTAATCAAATTACCCATCGCAGAAGCTTTGTAAACGGACGCCTTGTCCACAATACAGCGGACGGTGTTCCTGGTTTAGGACTTTAAAGCAGTTAGAAACAAAACACTCGTTTTACCTCATAGGATATAAGGAAGTGAAGTTTTAAAAAATCACATCGCTAGTTATATTTCATATTCTGTGAGATTTACCTGATTTCATCCAATGTACATCGTATTAACATTATATCTCGTTGATAAATATTACGTCAGTTTCCACATTTTGTATAGTTATTGTGTAACTGTTACAATCTAAATGATAATTCATAGGGCAACCCAAACACAAATGGTGTCAATGAATGTATTGATGAAGTTGCACATTATTATATTTCATTCACGCTTGTGTCACCAATTATGTTTGTTGTTAATATGTTTTGTTTGTTGTTTAACACCGCGACATTTCATCCATTGACCGCGGCCTGTAAATCATCGAGTCTGGACCAGACAATCCAGTGATCCAAGTCGTCAGGATACCATGTCACGCAGCAACCAAATCCATTCTAATCTGGAATCTCCATTTGGATGCTTTTAATGGTCAGTCAGTGAGTTCTGAACAGTATTACAGTTATATCACGGCGTGTCAGCTTAATGTGGGAGGAACGTCCGAAGTAATGCAGATCTCAGACCTTTACCATTTTGGTGGAACCAACAAGTACGGGTATGTACCTAGAATCATAATCGTGGCGAACCGGGATTCGAACCCACGATCATAGGTTTCTGGCATGGCCAAGGGACGCAGCTCTGCACAACGAATTGCAGCTCATTAGATTTGCTTGTTTATTGTTTAACGCCTCACTCAGCAACATTCCAGCTATATGACGGCGGTCTGTAAATAATCGAGTCTGGACTAGACAATCCAGTGACTGGGACTAGACAATCCAGTGACTGACGTGATGAGAATCGATCCATGCAATTGGGATACGATGACTTGCATCAATCAAGTCAGCGAGCCTGTCCACCAGATACCGTTAGTCGCCTTTTACGGCAAGCATGGGTTACTGAAGACCTATTTTCTACCCGGATCTTCAAGGGTCGCGGTGCCACCCGTGCACACATGTCTAAGGATAATGTTCACTGCATGAATCAATGTGTAGATCACCTGTACTGTTGAAAAGGAAAGTATCAAGTAAGCTCCCCTGGTCACAGTCACAAACAAAACACATTTTCATAAACTATTTTCTCATGTTTTATTACACATTTAGATCAAGATGTTGAAATTTTTGGTGTATTTATTGATACCATCATTGGACAGAAGCAGTGAGGCCCCACTTGAGATACACTTCATGGACCATCTGACTCTAACAGATAGGGCGTCTGCCAGAGAGCGGAAGATCGGTGGTTCGATGCCCTGGCAGCGTCATACCAAAAGACGTTACCCTCACTAGCACTTTTGTTTAGGGGATATAACTAGAACTTCTCGGCTCGGAGTACAATATATGTTAGTGGGGCATCCATGTTAAATAGCGGCATAGTAACTCAGTAGCCCCAACCCGGCGTTAATCTGGACAAGTACAATCACCCCACACACTCCCAGATGCATGCACGTCGCTATACAAGTGTAATAATCATGAGCGCGAGGTTAAACACAATTTCACCTCACTAACACATTAACCATTTCATTGCCACGGACCATCTCGTGAGAATAGGGTTGAACCCGTCTTCTAATCGGCTTGCTTCGCACAAAAATATCCCCGGAGCGCCACGGTTGAGTTATTCGGGCAGTTCCGACAAGCCATATGCCGCCCGGACCAGTACTGTTCTTTTGGACAACAGGTGCTTGGCAATCGATTCCGCCCCTGATACCGGAACTGATCCTGAAACTGCTGATCACTCCTTGACGGTATGAACACACAGGTTCGCACAGCCACCTTGACTGGTACTGGCGTTGTTGGTTTCGGGACAGGGAGATCCTCATACCCGTTTACACGTATTTTGAAACGGGAGAAAATAGATGGGTGCAGGACCCTATCTCCTCCATCCACAAAACAGGAGTATTCTGTTTTGGGGCATACATCAGGGATCTTGTTGGTGTGGCAGGTTGTGTAGGGGTTGTCATAGCCCCGGTGCTGTCGGCAGTTCACTCCATGTCCGACCTTGTACTCAAACACCATTGGTCGCGATGGGTTGATGGTATACCTTGTGCCCCCCGGGACTAACTCGTTCTCACCATCGACCTCAACATGGACCCGGATGTCCCGACGGTAGCGGACCTCAGATGGCAAGTATACTTCGAAACCAGAAACATAGATCACGGCTGTCAGATCAGCTTTGGTAATCCACCCAGCTTTATACAACCACCTGCTGTTAGGAATTCTGAAGCTAATCTCTTGGCCTGAATACAATTTGGAAATACTCATGTATGCAGTGTCTCCGCGCCTTGTTTTCCTTCCGGAAACGGTCTGGAACTCGAGGCCTCTTGAAGAGCAAGGTGGTTCTTTATATGCCAACAGAGTTGAAATGTCCGTTCCCGCATCTTTACACACATGGGGCCTAACCCCACCTGCCTTGTACTGCAGCTCGTCACAATACATCCTTATCACTTGAAGGACCATGATTCTGTAGCACACGTACGACATCCCCGACACCTGGCGGAGACTCTCCAAAACATCTTCATCTTGGCCATTACTTCCCGCTATTGCGTCGTAATCAGCCACTATGCCATCAGCAGCCTTCATAGCCACTTGAGACTGGACGTTTTGAGCTAACACTTCAACCAGCTCAAACTGTTTGTCATAGATAGATTCAAGCGTAGATACTAACTTTTCAATTTTCACTGCGGTTTTCCGGCATAGGCCACTTGAACTTGTGATCTTACATGCCTCTTCAAGAACCTTCTTCAAGTAAACAGCCATTTCAGTAATATCTGGTTTAGTAACTGCAGGTACGTAATCATTATACTTTTTCAAAAATCTGTCCTTAGCAGCCTCAAAGTCGTCCGGCTTTTTGTCTTGAGTTATTGATTCCATTATAATTTTCATATTGCCAATAAATTCTTTATTTTTCGCAAACCCATTTCTGACGTGATTGATGTGCCCCCTAAGGGCATGTATGGCGATAACTAGCCTTGTAGCTGATCCTAGCGTTGCTAAGGCGTTCGCCAACTCAGCCGTCGCATCCATGACATCAGACACAGACGAACTGGTCGCTGCCTTCAAGGGATTGCAACTTTCAGCAATAACTTTGGCGAAACTAATAGTTTTCTTAGTCACTGCTAAGGCAGCATATGTCATCATGAAACCAATTACTTTCGAAATGTCTGAGTCTATATCAGGTGCTAGAGTTCTTGCTGATTGTGTCAGGTTGTTTAACTGATGGAAAACTATCAAATCGGCCTTAGCTTTTGCGGCACTAAAACTGTGAATCTTTTTGAAGTATGTTTTGAGCTCATAAAATCGCTGGTTGATGACCTTGCTAAATTCATTCTTTAAGTCGTCTGCAACTGCCACCAGGTTATACTCCTGGTCGCCTAGGAACTGAAGAACCCTCTCCATCTGTTTCTGTCTGAGGAACTCTCGAAGGTCAAGGTCGGTGTTCAACAAACGCACTTTGACGCCTTTACCTGTCGCCGGTTGGCGAGACTTGATGTAGACTCTGGTTTGGTCAACTACTCTCCAGAACAAGCACATCTTCCCACTGTTACATATCTTGTCTGTGTTGAAGTATGGAAACATCGACATCAGAATCTCCAACTTCTCGTCTGCGCCATCATCAATGTACATTGCCACTGCTCTGATGATCTGTGTGATGACTGCTTGTTGATCTGTTGTGTTGTGAGGTTGTATGGCATTGACTCGACCATGGTATTTCCACTTGAGAAGGATTGAACTAAATGTCAGAGCATTGAAATAATGATTAACGTCTTCATCATCCCATCTCCCTATCTTTTCTTGGTGTGCAATAAACCTCTTTGCACGTTCCATTAATTGTAAAACGTCTCTCAATAGACAGTCGGGCCCCTCATGATCCGGGCTACATAACGTATTAGCCTCTGACTTCAGAACATCAAACGTCAGATTTTCTGAGAAAATTTGCCCAAGTATGCGTTGATATTTGTTTTTATCATGTATTCTCTGAACATTTGGAAGATAGTCATAAAGGCCGTTGATAAAGTTGGTGTCGTCACAGAACCGATGAATCTCAGGATGTAGCGTCATAAGACGACGGTACGTGTATTGGATCAAGTTGTCGACGTCGTCATCGTCACCTCTACGAGAGTTGGTCACCGGAAGTGTCTTTATGTCTTCCTTCAGTTTCTCAAATAGCGCCAAACGCCGCAAGTAGACACACACTCCCTGGTTGGACTTGTCTGCGTTCTGGCACATTTTCTTTGCGAACTCCATGGACTTATATATGGGAATGTACCCTCGTGATTGTAACTGTTCGAAAACAAGTTGGAAGTTCTTCTCTGCTGATTTGAGAAAGGTTGATGCCCTCGATGACGTGATGTTCCGGCACAGCATGGTGTAGAAACCAATCTCTGAAACGCAAATGAGGGTTAGCTGGTTTGTTTTTTTATTAACGCCACGCTCAGCAATATTCCAGCTATATGACGGCCGTCTGTAAATAATCGAGCATGGACCAGACAATCCAGTGATTTGCATAGTGAGCATCGATCTACGCAATTGGGATACGATAACATGCATCAACCATGTCAGCGAGCCTGACCACCCGATCCCGTTAGTCTCCTCTTACAACAAGCATGTCTCCCAAAGTCCGACAAGCATGGGTTGCTGAAGACCTATTCTAACCCGGATCTTCACGGGTCCAATCCAAGAATGGCAGTCATGGCCATGACCACCTGTATACCCTACCTTCACAGACAGGCGCCGGCTTGTCGTATCTGCCATCCCTCAAACACGTAAAGGAGTTGTCCGCTAGCACCTCGTAGCCGGAGTCGCACACCACGCTGCACTTCTCCCCGTACCGCGCTCCCTGGTTGCACGTGGTCCGGCCGTGCCGGATGTCACCAATACTCAGGCACTGCGCACCTGGCCGAATAGAGCTGATATTTTAAAGGGAGTATGTTCCACGCTCTGGTGATATGTCCGACATAGGTATAGACGCTGTGATTAGTGTGGGGAATGTATTCGTCCATATAATTTCTGTGCAGTTTTGGTTATTTAAAATCTGATAGGTTGATGCACATCGTAAACCATAAAATGAACTTAGTTAAACGACTCAAATTGAATCAAACTTGTACATGGGAGCACAGGGACATACATAAGGATGCACAGACACACACAAGGGTGACGGGGAGACACACAAGGGTGCAAGGGGAGACACACAAGGGTGCAAGGGGAGACACACAAGGGTGCACGGGGAGACACACAAGGGTGCACTGGGAGACACACAAGGGTGCACGGGAAGACACACAAGGGTGCACGGGGAGACATACAAGGGTGCAAGGGGAGACACACAAGGGTGCACGGGGAGACACACAAGGGTGCACGGGGAGACACACAAGGGTGCAAGGGGAGACACACAAGGGTGCACGGGGAGACACACAAGGGTGCACTGGGAGACACACAAGGGTGCACGGGAAGACACACAAGGGTGTAAGGGGAGACACACAAGGGTGCACGGGGAGACACACAAGGGTGCACTGGGAGACACACAAGGGTGCACGGGAAGACACACAAGGGTGTAAGGGGAGACACACAAGGGTGCACGGGGAGACATACAAGGGTGCACGGGGAGACATACAAGGGTGCACGGGGAGACATACAAGGGTGCACGGGGAGACATACAAGGGTGGACGGGGACACACACAGGGATACACAGGGAGACACAAGTGTAACGGGGAGACGCGCAGTGATACACAGGGGCACACAAGGGTGCACAGGGACACACACAGAGGTGCTGAGGGAGACACAAGGGTGCACGGGGAGACGCACAGTGATGCAGAGGGAGACACAGTGATGCACAGGGACACACAGGGGTGCACAGGGACACACACAGGGATGCACAGGGAGACACACAGGGGTGCACAGGGAGACACAAGGATGCACAGTGATGCACAGGGAGACAAAAGGGTGCACAGGAAGACACAAGGGTGAACAGGGAGACACAATGATGTACAGGGATAAACACAGGGAGACACAAGGGTGCACAGGAAGACACAAGGGTGCACAGGGACACACACATGGATACACAGGGAGACACAAGGGTGCACAGGGACACACACAGGGAGACACAGTGACACACAAGGATGCACAGGGACACACACAGGGATGAACAGGGAGACAACGCTGCGCAGGGAGACACAAGGGTACACGGGGAGACGCACAGGGATGCACAGGGAGACACACATGGTTGAACAGGGACACGCAAGGGTCCACAGGGAGAGACAATGGTCAACGCTCTGGTGATATGTCCGACAGATGTCTAGACGTTGTGATTAGTGTGGTTGATAGGTTGCTGCACATCATAAACCATCAAATGTTAAATGACTCAAATTGAATGAAACGTGTACATGGGTGCACAGGGAGATACACAAGGGCGCAAGGGAGACACAGGGATGCACAGGGAGACACAGGGATGCACAGTGACACACAAGGGTGCACAGGAATACACACAAGGGTCCACAGGGAGACACAAGAGGGCACAGGGACACACACAAGGGACAGATGGGGCCTGTGCGGTACACTTTACCTTCCACTGTGATAGTGTATGTACAGTGGTCACTCCTGCCCTCCTTGTCGGTCGCAGTGTACTTGACGATGTAGGTACCTACAGTCAACATGGAACCAGGGCTCGGCGAGAACTTATTTAACGTCGGACTGAAACGAACGTTATATTTGTGAGCACCTTTATTAAAACAGGAAAACATTTGGAAAATACCTGTCGACGCCCAGTTGACGGTACACATGCTCTGGAAATCCTGCAATCGATCAATTGCACGGCAGTCGCCATTTTGTTTATCAACCCCATGACGATTTCGTTACGCGATTTTGATTGGACAATGCACAGACTCGTTAGTCCAGCCAAAATGAAACTCCATAATTCCATCCAAGTTCGGCAAGGGTGGAAACTGGACTTTAATAGTCAGTTAACTCCCTCACCTCGGGAAGATGCCTCTACTGCAGAGTTGCGTCCCTTAGTCATTCATTTTATTTGACTTTAAACCAATGTGGTGTTTACATGAGGATATTTACATGACTTTCCCCTGTTCGGGGTCGCTTGCGGTCGGTGCATCCCAGGTGACAGTGGCTGACCCTTGACCCGGCTTCACCAACGTAGTAAACGACTGCGGGCAGTCGATGATTGGGGGGAGGTTCCCCACTGCAACAGACGCAGAGCAATAACTAGCACATGTGTAGTAGGCTCAACTCAAGCCCTTATTAAATCAATCTTGGTGAAGGATCAAGGTCGACTCTAGAACTTCTGCTAGTCTACCCATCACCTGGTACCTGTGTAAAACTGACCCACTTCTGCTAGTCTACCCATCACCTGGTCCCTGTGTAAAACTGACCCACTTTTGCTAGTCTACTCATCACCTGGTACCTGTGTAAAACTGACCCACTTCTGCTAGTCTACCCATCACCTGGTCCCTGTGTAAAACTGACCCACTTCTGCTAGTCTACCCATCACCTGGTCCCTGTGTAAAAGTGACCCACTTCTGCTAGTCTACCCATCACCTGGTACCTGTGTAAAACTGACCCACTTCTGCTAGTCTACCCATCACCTCGGACCGTCTGTTGTTCCGATCTTCTGCTGATCCCCGTTTTACATGCGCATGTGTAAAAAATATGTATTGCAGTCACCTAAAGAAGATTTTATACCCTTTCAAAAATGTTATTGTACCTAACAAAGCCGATGTATTTAATTTAATATCATAGATACAAATATGAAATTTTGGACCTTGATAGTCTCGTGTTGTCGTTGTACAACGGCACTGAAAACAGTTCATTGTCGTGTCACAAAAGGCCACAAGGTTGCGCTGAACTCAGTATCTCGTGTGACCGCTCCGAGCAGTAATCACCTGCTTCTCCTCGGCACTGACTGGATAAGTGTACGAATTTTATCCTGCGGAATTCTATGCCATTCTGCTTGAAACGCGCTCGCCAGTTGTGGGAGTGTCTGCGGCGTGTTCTGACGTTGGCGTACACGACGGTCGAGTTCATCCCAGAGGTGTTCGATTGGGTTGAGATCTGGAGATCTCCATCGACGGCCAGGGCGAGTGACACGAGCTGTGTGCGGTGGAGCGTTGTCCTGTTGAAACAGCTCCCTCTGGCGGTCAATGATTGGAAGAAGGTGAGGTTGAAGAATTTGATTCATGTAGCAATTTGCTGTCAAATTTCCCTGAACCACAACCAAGTCAGATCTCGTGGTGTAGGATATGGCCCCCCACACCATGACACTACCACCACCGAGTTTGTCGAATTCACGTCCACAATGTGGGGCAAAACGCTCATTTCGACGACGATAAACACGATGTCTTCCATCGCGCCGTTGAAGAAGAAATCGTGATTCATCGCTAAACCACACTCGTCTCCAGTTTCTCAAATTCCAAGGCTGTACGGTATGGCACAGCGTCGCTGTCGATGGGTCTGTTGAACAACAGTGACGATGACTGGTCTTCCTGATCGGATTCCAGCCTCGAGAAGATGGTTCCTGACACTCTGGTCCGATATCCTTCTCAAACCATTGTGTGGCATTGTGATGACGTAGGTGGGTGGAACAGTCGAATGTGTCGCTCCTGTGCAGGGGTGGTAACTCTTGGTCGGCCTGTTCTCGGACGGTCTGCAGTGGAATTGAACTGAGTGTATCGGCCCAAAAGGCGGCAAATGGTGCTGTGGTGGACGTTGAAGTGGCGTGCAACAGAAAACTGCGATTCCCCTCTTTGGATACGTCCTGTGGCGATGTTCCGATCGCCAGCGCTGTGTCTCGGCATTTTCGAACTTGAAAAATGTTGACAATTGAATGACAAATTATTGGATTATGCTTGCCTTTTTATAGCCACTACCACGAGGTACGAATGCCATAACTTGCACGTGCATTTTGCTTTACTGTTTTCCTCCATGACATTGTTGAACAAGTGTGAAAACTATGCCGTTTAAGACGATCGTAAACCCCATGACAGTGTGATTAACAGATTTGGGCAGATATTGTTAGACATACGTTATTCATTCCAGCTATTTATTGTTAACGCAGGGTATATGGAGACGCAGAAGGGCAATATACATAGTGTGGTCACCAGGGCTGTAGTGTGAATGATTACTTTATCTGTTCTACGGATTTTTTTCAATACATTAACATGTTCAACATTGGAGGTCGTATAGAGTCCGATCATTTACCATTAGAATTAACATGTAAATTCCCAAACATGAACAACCAAAATGATAAGCCAACATCTGGTTGCTTTAAAGAAAAGATTGTTTGGAATGAATCTCTTTGTGAAACGTTTTTGAACAGCCTGCAGGAAAGGATGGTGTCTTGTAATCAACTACTTTTGAGTAAACTGGATTTTAACACAGATGGGGCTACAGATGATTTCGTCCATGTTATCTTAGATTCTGCAGATTGTATAAGGAAAAGAAGTAGACTTATGCACTATCAACATACCAAGGCCCCATGAAGTGACGAATGTAAGATTGCTAAACGGGATGCTCGAAAAGCATTGAGAACATTTAGACGTTGACATACTGATTCTAATAGAAACATCTACTGCAAAAAGAGAACTATAAATCCTGCTGCAGTAAAAGTATATCTGACTTGTGTATATGTAGGCTAAAGAAATTGAGTGATACTATCTATTCTCCCTCTAAGTTTTGGAAACAGGTGCGTTCATTTAAAAAGCAGACAAATAGAAAAGTTAATATCTCAAAGGCTGAGTGGCTTATAAATTTTATGAAAGTTTTTTTTTCAAATGACACTGTTTTCAACACTGACAGTGATGTGTTTGTCAATATTATTGATGTTTCCTCTTCATGTTATATTTATGTTGACGAACTTTTTCTAGAATGACCCATATCACAGGATGAAATTCTGGACGTTATAGTACATCTAAAAAGTGGAAAAGCTGCTGGTCCTGACCATATTGCGGTTGAAATGATAACATGTTCCAAATTTGAGATGATGCCTATTCTTCAAAAATGTTTCAATAAGACGTTTGACAGTGGTACATTCCCCAGAACCTGGTCTTGTTCGGTAATTATTCCAATACACAAGAAAGGAGAGTTTAACAACTCAGACAATTATAGGGGAATATCCTTAATGAGTATTCTTGGAAAGATTTTACATCTGTACTTAATTCCAGGATTACGAATTGGGCTAACATGCGTGATAAGATTCCCGAAACTCAAGCTGGTTTTAGAAAAAAAGTACTCAACGTCAGATCATATATTCACATTATATGCAATAATCCAAAAGTGTCTATCACGTCGTAAACACAAAGTGTATGTAGCCTTTGTCGATTAAAAAAAAAGCTTTTGACTCGTTAGAAACCATGGTACTGTTTAATAACTACTGGTCTTCAGGGGAAAATGTACTCTATATTTAAAGCGATGTATCCAAATATCAAATTATGTGTACGATGTGTTGACCGATTTCTTTGACTGTCCTGTTGGCTTACGACAAGGATGTATCTTGAGCCCGATATTGTTCTCATTTTTTATTAGTGAATTATATTATGAAATTATGGCTAAGCGTAAACATGGTATTCAAATGTTCCCAAATGTAAAAGAAATTTTGATGCTTCTTTTTGCCGATGATGTCATTTTAGTATCAGATTTTGTTGTTGGACTACAAAAACAACTTAACATTTTAGAATGTTACACCAAAGAGTGGAAACTATCAGTTAACTATGATAAAACAAATATTGTCATTTTCAGAAGAGGGGGTCAGGTGTCACTGAATGAAAGATGGTTTTTCGATGGTAAATGTGTTTATGTTCTGAGCCATTATACATATCTTTGTGTAATGTTTACCCATACAATGAACTTCAAGAAAAGTGTCTCGTAGTTAACATCACGTGCAAAGGGGGTCTGAATCAATATAATGTCTGTTTCACAGAAAGTAGGAGCTGTTACACCGAATATATTTATTAAATTATTTGATGCCCAAATCCAACCAATCATGTTATATGGATCAGAAGTATGGGGATTTCAGCGATACGATTGTCTCGAAAAGCTACTTCTTTTAGCCTGTAAAAATATCTTATCCGTTGGTTCATCAACACTCAATTGTATTGTCTATGGCGAGTGTGGCAGATACCCATTATACATCAACTCCCAAATTAGATGCTTGAAATACTGGTTTAATATTCTTGGAATGCATGAATCCCCACCGAATTGCTTATAATATGCGTGTACATTTAGACGACATGGGCAAAGTAATATGGGCATCACATATTAGAAACCTTTTGTTTTCTCATGGCTTTGCATGGTTAAACCAAACAGTAGGTGATGTTAAATTCTTTTGAAACAATTTCGTGAACAATCTATAAATATGTTTTATCAGGAATGGAATTCTACACTAACAGTTCAAGGTATGACTTGTATAGAACCTTTAAGAGTCTTATTCAACCAGAAAAATACTTATCTACATTAACACCAAGAACCCTTCGACGTCCATTTAATTAATTTAGGCTCGGATTGCTAGATGTCATGATAAATGAAGGAAGAAAAATGTCCACTGAAATGTCGAAGAGGCTAAGCCCATTATGTCATTCAGCTATAGAAAATGAAATTCATTTTACTTTTGTATGTCCTTATTATTGTGATCTAAGAAGAAAGTTTATACCAGAACGCTATCTGTCAAATTACCCTGTACCTGCTTTTATTTCTCTTCTTTCTTCGAAAGATGGTGCTCTCATATTAAAACTGGCTAAATATGTTAAAAATGCAATTTCCCTCAGAAACAAATTGTTAAACATGAGTATATATCCAAATATGTAAAACTACTTATTTGTAACTCTTTTGTATATGGTCCGGAGACCTTACATGCAATGAATATCTTTGACTTTGACTTTGACATTGCAATCGACAATGACTGCGTTTTGACGCACCGTTTGTCGAATATCAGGCCAACAACATTTTCCAATAACATATATCCAATTTATATACCGGAGTTTTTGTGTAGTCAGGTTCAATGAACTACATACTACCTGTGCGTTTTTTATGAGTGTATTGCATATTGTTTTAAATGGAAAAAAAAAAAAATAGAATGGAAGACTTTTTTTTTTTGTCGAATGCCAAACATCAAATCATTTAAAAGCATGTTTTGGTCCAAATCATAATAAAGAAATCAAGCTTTGAAGGTACATGCCCCCGAATTCCCTCAACATATTCACCAAACATTCGACAAACAGTCATTTGTTACATTTAACCACTTTCTAAATGGCATTGTGTGCTCATAGCTAAATGTTGAAACGAAGTTCCTTATCCACCATCGGCAAAACCATTTCCATTAAAGCGCTCGGTTACACATCAAAATAAGAGGTATCTAACCCGATTGGGACTTCATCAAATTTCAAAACAGAGTAGGTGTATCGATCGCCTAATTCACTCCCTGAATAACACCTTGATAAAAGAATAGCTCACCTGACACGTGGAGGAGACTGGCCAGGACTGCAGCCAGCAGAACATCCATGATGGCATCTGCAAACCCAGGTCAGTCCGAGGCTATATACATACGTGCATCCAGGATCTGTCACTGGTGTAGGGAACTTGACACTACGTGTATCTGTGGCCAGTGATAACAGACCTACAAAACGTAAACACCAATTATGACGTGGACGTAAGCATGTGTTTACTATTACATCAACATAGACTGTCGTGCGCTTATGACCGATTCCAAGAACTTTCTTTATCTCAAGGTTGCCGGAATAATGGCCCTGGTCTCCGGCCCTGTGTGTATGTTGGGGGGTGAGGGGTGGGGTAAGGGTGGGGGTGGGGTGCGATATGGAGAGAGAATATATGCAATAAAGGCTGAACTGGTTGCCTGTGATAGTTTGATAACAGGTAGCCTGTGAAATATGCTGTACTGTTTTTTTCTGATATTTGCTTGACTGATTGTCTGTGATATATGCTGTACCAACTGCCTCTACTATATGCTGTACTGTTGTCTGTTATATATGTTGATCTGATTGGAATATATCGTGAACTGATTGTGACATTGGACGATCTGTCTGGACGTGTTAGAGGACTCCACTTCATTTCCTTTCCTTGGGAAACAGGATGTCGCTGTACGGAGCTTGGCTAAGTTTTCCTAGTAATTCATTTGGGATGAATCCAATTTCATTCAAATCAGATGTTACTGCTTGCTGCCGTTATACAAAGGTCTGAGGACACACCATTACAGGTGACGTCAGAACGACCTTTCGCGAACTTTGACCGACCAATGAAATGACTAACAAGAAGTCGCCATTAGCCAACCAGAAAGCAACTCGAGGGTTTACGGCACTGGTTCTAGACCAGACTAGCTTTGAAAAACACTTTCCTAGTTTTCGATTCAAAATTTGAAAACTGAAAAAAGAAAATTCTGGGATGTCTAACAGTTGGCCAAAGGTGTATGACAGTGCTTCCCAGGGTCTGTGGAAAGTCTAATCCGTTTCAAATGTTTATTCCATTGAAGCGAGAGATAGATAATAATTTTGACGGAATTAGTCGTACACGCCGTAACTGTCGTTCGGAATACGTAATACGGAATAAGGAATAACCTCTTCCAGGTTACATGATACATTCCGACCGACACTTTTCAGATCTGGTAAGCGGCGCTCTGATTGGTCGGATGACAGGCCGTTCTGGCGTGACCCGTAATGGGATGTCCTCAATCTTTGTGTAGATGTAGCGAGAACTGAGATTTGATTTTAATGAGATTTGGGTGAAACCTTATGGTACATTGGTGGTGTGACAGTACTGTTATAGTGCAAACCATTTCAATACGCTTCTTTAAAGCTTCATTTATCTAAAATACCTAATTGTTTCGATATGTTTCCAAGCGTACCGAAATTATCTTCTCCTTTTTTAAAATTACACAGCAAACATTCGTCGTATCCCCTCTAATCATAAGCTCCCTCAGGGCAGGCCCCTTAGTCTCTGGCGCTATCTATAAATGTCACCTTTCACATCGCCTGGTCTAACGTATGTACATGTCCGAGGGTCACTGACCTTGCCCCACGTTATGTAATACCTCTAGCTGCAAAATTTGACTGACATGGACAATCAGGGAGACGGATCAAGATCATCGACCAAGAAGCGGACAGATTGTATGTCTGGTCGTGGCATGGTCAAAGGCCGCCGCCTCACTAACGACTACGTCGACGATGAACAATCGCCGTCCGACTTTATGCCTGATGTGTCAACCCAATCAACTGCAAACAAATATGTTGATGATATATGTGATAATCTTCTTGTTGCAGTTGCTTTGGATAATCACATTTGCATCACAGCTGATAAAATAACAGATGTCGAAGTAAGTGCTCAAATTCCAACATTTATCAATAAAGAGCTTGATGCAGAAGGCAGTAAGAATGATGTTTCTCTACCATATAAAAGCTAAGTTAAAACTCTGAGAAAAATATTCAATATACACTTGCTGTAAAAAAAAATGTTACTGACACAGAAGATGTGTGTAATAACGCTGAGTCTGTCCCAAATAACCACACACGTCCTGGGGCAAATATCTCAAGTCAAACAACTGTAAACACTAATGTTACTGACACAGGAGATGTGTGTAATAACGCTGAGTCTGTCCCAAATAACCACACATATCCTGGGGCAAATATCTCAAGTCAAACAACTGTAAACACTAATGTTACTGACACAGGAGATGTGTGTAATAACGCTGAGTATGTCCCAAATAACCACACACGTCCTGGGGCAAATATCTCAAGTCAAACAATTGTAAACATTAATGTTACTGACACAGGAGATGTGTGTAATAACGCTGAGTCTGTCCCAAATAACCACACACATCCTGGGGCAAATATCTCAAGTCAAACAACTGTAAACACTAATGGTACTGACACAGAAGATGTGTGTAATGACGCTGAGTCTGTCCCAAATAACCACACACATCCTGGGGCAAATATCTCAAGTCAAACAACTGCAAACACTAATGGTACTGACACAGAAGATGTGTGTAATAACGCTGAGTCTGTCCCAAATAACCACACACATCCTGGGGCAAATATCTCAAGTCAAACAACTGTAAACACTAATGGTACTGACACAGAAGATGTGTGTAATGACGCTGAGTCTGTCCCAAATAACCACACACATCCTGGGGCAAATATCTCAAGTCAAACAACTGCAAACACTAATGGTACTGACACAGAAGAATAGTGTAATAACGCTGAGTCTGTCCCAAATAACCACACACATCCTGGGGCAAATATCTCAAGTCAAACAACTGCAAACACTAATGGTACTGACACAGAAGATGTGTGTAATGACGCTGAGTCTGTCCCAAATAACCACACACATCCTGGGGCAAATATCTCAAGTCAAACAACTGTAAACACAAATTTTGTCAACCAGGTACTTGATAACTTGAACTTGTCAAATGTACTGCTTATTTGTGCTCCCACTGCATGTAATCTTGACAACTGTTCTGGCGTAGATGTAATTGTGAATTCAAATGATAACACAAATCATGCTCACAATGTATCTGATATTCTGAATACCACAGATTACACTTTGTCTCCAAATAATCATAAGAAAGATTGATGTAAATGTACTAAGCAAGGCAAATGAAAACACAGAGGATGTTCACAATGGTTATGATACACTGGACTCTGTGAATAATTTGAATAACTATGTTTCCTCAAATAAGGAAACCAATTTTACTGATGTAAATATGTTCACTCAAACAAACATACACAATAACATTGATGTCACAGATGTCCTTAACTATCATACCTGTAACCCAGTTATTTTTAACAGAGTTCATGTAGAAAGTATTTCATGTAAACCAATGGCACAAATATTTGTTCCTAATAATGTAAATGATGTAAGTCATGGATCAGAGTTTACTAATAATCGTGATAGTGACGTCAATGATGTTGCAAATAATGTTGTTGTTGATGATGATGATGATGAGGAGGAGGAGGAGGAGGATAATGATGACGATTAAGATATTTTGAAAGGCCAAGTAAATATCTCAATTAAAGGTAAACAAATATGATGACAATAAATTTGATGACGTGCCTGTTGCAGTGGCTTTAGATATTTGACGGTCGCCTTTTACGGCAAGCATGGGTTAGCAAGACCTATTCTTCACGGGTCGTGATATGATTGAAAACTGTTAAATCCACCTCACTCACTCACTATTAGCTGAACTGCTTCTTCGATTATGCGTTACCAGTTGTTTTTTCCATGAATTTTCCTGAGATTTTCGATGATTTTTCACCAATATGCTTCAATGAAACTCAATGAGCTTCACTGTGATATGACGTCAACAAGATGGCACCTGAATCCATGTCTAGTCGGTACGCGGAGGGGGCACGGCAGGCCCCGTCGTCTAAGGCGCCGCAATTCGCTGTGCAGAGTTGCGTCCCTTGGGTATGATGAGTGTGGAAAGGTAGAGGTTTTGTATGAGATGTAGCGGACATGGTAGTTTGAAGTAGAGTAGGTAGAGGGTTTATATGAGCAGTAACGGATATGGAAATTTGAAGTAGGTAAGGTAGATTGATTATATGAGATGTAGCGGACATGGTAGTTTGAAGCAGGTGAAGTAGATGGTTAAAATAAGATAAAGCAAACATTGGAGTTTGAAGTAGGTAAGGCGTAGGGTGAGGTGAGGTAGAGGGTTTATATGAGATGCAGCGGACATGGTAGTTTCAAGGAAGTAAGATATGGGGTTTATATGAGATTAGTGGACATGGTAGTTTGAAGTTGGGAAGGTAGAGGGTTTTACATGTGATGTAGCGGACATGGTAGTTTGAAGTAGGAATGTTAAGGGATTTATATGAGATGTAGCGAAGATTGGGGTTTGAAGAAGGTGAGGTAGATGGTTTTTATGAGATGTAGCGGACAAGGTACTTTCAAGAAAGTAAGATAGGGTGTTTATATGAGATAAGCGGACATGGTAGTTTGAAGTAGGAAAGGTAAGGGGTTTATATGAGATGTAGCGAAGATTGGAGTTGAAGTAGATAAGGTAGATGATTTACATGAGGTGTAGCGGACATTGGAGTTTGAAGAAGGTAAGATCAGGTTTTTTATTAGATGTAGCGGGCATGGTAGTTTGAAGTAAGCCAGGGAAAGGTGTTATATGAGTTGAAGCGGACATGGTATTTTGAAGTAGGTAAGGTAGAGGGTTTATATGAGATGTAGCGGACATAGTAGTTTGCAGTAGGTAATGTAGAGGATTTACATGAGATGTAGTGAAGATTGGAGTTTGAAGTAGATAAGGTTGAGGATTTATGACATTCAGCGAAGATTGGATTTTAAAGTAGGTAAGGAAGAGGGTTTATATGAGATGTAGCGAAGATGGAGCTTGAAGAAGGTAAGGTAGAGGATTGATATGAGATGTAGCGAAGATTGGAGCTTGAAGTAGGTAAGGAAGAGCAGTTATTGAAGTATGTAACGTAGAGGATTAATATGAGATGTACGAAGATTGGAGTTTGAAGTAGGTAGGGTAGAGGTTTTATATGAGATATAGCGGACATGGTACTTTGAAGAAAGTGAGGTAGAGGGTTTATATGAGAGCGGGCATGTTTGTTTGAAGTAGGTACGATAGAGGGTTTGTGTGAGATGTATCGGACATGGTAGTTTGCAGTAAAGAAGGCGGAGCCTCTATATGAGATGAAGTGGACATTCGAATTTGAAGAAGGTAAAGTAGAGGGTTTATATGAGATGTAGCGGACATGGTACTTTCAAGAAGGTGAGGTAGAGGGTTTATATGAGATGTTGCGGACATGGAAGTTTGAAGCAGGTGAGGTAGAGGGTTAATATGAGATGTTGCGGACATGGTAGTTGGAAATAGATAACGTAGAGGGTTTATATGAGATGTAGCGGGCCTTGTAGTTTGAAGTAGGTAAGGAAAGGGGTTTATATGAGATGTAGCGAAGATTAGAGTTTGAAGTAGTTAAGGTAAGGGTTTTATATGAAATGTAGCGGACATTGTAGTTTGAAGCAGGTGAGGAAAGGGGTTTATATGAGATGTAGCAGGCATGGTAGTTTGAAGTAGGTAAGGAAAGGGGTTTATATGCGATGTAGCGTGCATGGTAGTTGGAAGTAGGTAAGGTAAGGGTTTTATATGAGATGTAGCGGCAATGGTAGTTTGAAGCAGGTGAGGTAGAGGGTTAATATGAGATGTTTGCGGACATGGTAGTTGGAAATAGATAACGTAGAGGGTGTGTGTTTGTGTTGATGGGGTGGGGTGGGGGAGTGGGTGTGTGTGCGCGCGATATGGAGAGAGACTATATGCAATATATGCTGGACTGGCTGCCTTTGGTAAATGGACAACAGATTGCCTGTGAAATATGCTGGACTGTTTGTAACTGATGTGTACATGTAGATCTGATTGTGAGATATCGTGAACTCATTTGGACATATGTCTGGACGTGTTGGAGGACTCCGCTTCATTCCCTTTCTTTGGGAAACAGGATGTCGCTGTACGGAGCTTGGCTAAGAAACAGGTCGTCTGTAATCGGTATCCTACACGAGTTTTCCCAGTAATTCCTTTGCGATGAAACCAATTTCAGAACGACCTTTCGCGAACTTTGACCGACCAATGAAATGACTAACAAGAAGTCGCCATTCGCCAATAAGAAAGCAACTCTCGCAGGTTTACGGCACTGGCGATTTCCATTCCAGACTTCGCTTTGAAAAACACTTTCCTAGTTTTCGATTCAAAATTTGAAAACTGTAAAAAGAAAATTCTGGGATGTCTTATAGATGGCCAAAGGTGTATGACAGTGCTTCCCAGGATCTATGGAAAGTCACATCCGTTTTAAATGTTTATTCCATTGAAGCGAGAGATAGACAACAATTTTGACGGAAAACGTACACGCCGTAATTGTCGTTCTGAATACGGAATAAGGAATAACCTCTTCGGGGTTACATGATAAAAAACACATCCCGACCGACACTTTTCAGATCTGGTAAGCGGCGCTCTGATTGGTCGGATGACAGACCGTTCTGACGTGACCCGTAATGGGATGTCCTCAATCTTTGTGTAGATGTAGCGAGAACCGAGAATTAATTTTAATGAGATTGGGGTGAAACCTAATGGTACATTGGTGGTGTGACAGTACTGTTATAGTGCAAACCATTTCAATACGCTTCTTTAAAGCTTCATTTATCCAAAATACCTAATTGTTTCGATATGTTTCTAAGCGTACCGAAATTATATCTCCTTCTTTAAAATTATTCAGCAAACACTGGCGGTATCTCATCTAATCATAAGCCCCTCCGGACAGGCCCCTTAGTCTCTGGCGCTATCTATAAATGTCACCTTTCACATCGCCTGGTCTAACGTATGTACATGTCCGAGGGTCACTGACCTTGCCCCACATGAGATGTGACGGACATGGTAGTTTGAAGTTGGTGAGGTAGAGGGTTTACATTTGATGTAGCGGACATGGTGGTTTGAAGTAGGTGAGGTAGAGGGTTTATATGAGATGTAGCGGACATGGTAGTTTGAAGTAGGTGAGGTAGAGGGTTTATATGAGATGTAGCGGACATGGTAGTTTGAAGCAGGTGAGGTAGAGGGTTTATATGAGATGTAGCGGACATGGTAGTTTGAAGTAGGTGAGGTAGGGGGTTTATATGAGATGTAGCGGACATGGTAGTTTGAAGCAAGTTAGGTAGAGGGTTTGAAGTAGGTAAGGTAAGGTGTGTATATGAGGTGTAGCGGGCATGGTAGTTTCAAGGAGGTACATCTCATATAAACCCTGTACTTTACCTTCTTCAAACTACCATGTCCGCTACATCTAACGTCAACCCTCTACCTTATCTACTTCAAACTACCATGTCCGCTACATCTGACATAAACCCCCTATCTTACCTACTTCAAACTTCAATCTCCACTACATCATGTGAACCGCATCAAGGGTGATGTCATGTGTGATTGTAACCGTTGAAAGTGGTCCCAAACTGAACTGAGTGAGTGAGTGAGTGAGTCAGTGAGTGAGTGAGTGAGTGAGTGAGTGAGTGAGTGAGTGAGTGAGTGAGTGAGTGAGTGAGTGAGTGAGTGAGTGAGTGAGTGAGTGAGTGAGTGAGTGAGTGAGTGAGTGAGTGAGTGAGTATAGTTTAACGCCGCTTTTAGCAATATTCCTGCAATCTCACGGCGGGGACACCAGAAATGGGCTTCACACATTATACCCATGTCGGGAATCGTACCAGGGTTTTGGGCGTGACGAGCGAACGCTGTAACCACTAGGCCACCCGACCGCCCCTGGTCTTAAAGCCGCTCTGAGCAGTATTCCAGTTATATCACGGCGTGTCAGCTTAATGTGGGAGGAAAGACCGAAGTAATGCAGGTCTCAGACGCTTACCACTTTGGTGAAACCCACGAGCACAGGTGTGGTGCTGACAGACCTGAAATCATAATCGTGGTGAACCGGGATTCGAACCCACGATCGCTTGTTTCTGGCGTGGCAGCTATGCACGGCGAATTGCGGCACATTAGGTTTGTTTGTTTGTTGTTTAGCGCCTCACTCATGCATCAATCAAGTCAGCGAGCCTGTCCACTCGATCCCATAAATCGCCTTTTACGGCAAGCATGGGTAACTGAAGACCTATTTTCTACCCGGATCTTCAAGGGTCGCGGTGCCACCCGTGCACACATGTCTAAGGATAATGTTCACTGCATGAATCAATGTGTTGATCAGGCTGTACTGTTGAAAAGGAAAGTATCAAGTAGGCTCAACCTGGTCACATTTATAAACAAAACACATTTTCATCAACTATTTTCTCATATTTTATTACACATTTAGATCAAGATGTTGACATTTTTGGTGTATTTATGGATACCATCATTGGACAGAAGCAGTGAGGCTCCACTTGAGATACACTTCATGGACCATCTGACTCTAGCAGATAGGGCGTCTGCCAGAGAGCGGAAGATCGGTGGTTCGATGCCCTGGCAGCGTCATACCAAAAGACGTTACCCTCTCTGGCGCTTTTGTTTAGGGGATATAACTAGAACTTCTCGCCTCGGAGTATAATATGTGTGAGTGGGGCATCCATGTTAAATTGCGGCATAGTAACTCAGTAGCTCCAACCCGGCGTTAATCTGGACAAGTACAATCACCCCACACACTCCCAGATGCATGCACGTCGCTAGACAAGTGTAATAATCATGAGCGCGAGGTTAAACACAATTTCACCTCACTAACACATTAACCATTTCATTGCCACGGACCATCTCGTGAGAATAGGGTTGAACCCGTCTTCTAATCGGCTTGCTTCTCACAGTAATATCCCCGGAGCGCCACGGTTGAGTTTTTCGGGCAGTTCCGACAAGCCATATGCCGCCCGGACCAGTACTGTTCTTCTGGACAACAGGTGCTTGGCAATCGATTCCGCCCCTGATACCGGAAGTGATCCTGAAACTGCTGATCACTCCTTGACGGTATGAACACACAGGTTCGCACAGCCACCTTGACTGGTACTGGCGTTGTTGAGTTCGGACCAGGGAGATCCTCATACCCGTTTACACGTATTTTGAAACGGGAGAAAATAGATGGGTGCAGGACCCTATCTCCTCCATCCACAAAACAGGAGTATTCTGTTTTGGGGCATACATCAGGGATCTTGTTGGTGTGGCAGGTTGTGTAGGGGTTGTCATAGCCCCGGTGCTGTCGGCAGTTCACTCCATGTCCGACCTTGTACTCAAACACCATGGGTCGCGATGGGTTGATGGTATACCTTGTGCCCCCCGGGACTAACTCGTTCTCACCATCGACCTCAACATGGACCCGGATGTCCCGACGGTAGCGGACCTCAGATGGCAAGTATACTTCGAAACCAGAAACATAGATCACGGCTGTCAGATCAGCTTTGGTAATCCACCCAGCTTTATACAACCACCTGCTGTTAGGAATTCTGAAGCTAATCTCTTGGCCTGAATACAATTTGGAAATACTCATGAATGCAGTGTCTCCGCGCCTTGTTTTCCTTCCGGAAACGGTCTGGAACTCGAGACCTCTTGAAGAGCAAGGTGGTTCTTTGTATGCCAACAGAGTTGAAATGTCCGTTCCCGCATCTTTACATACATGGGGCCTAACACCCCCTGCCTTGTACTGCAGCTCGTCACAATACATCCTTATCACTTGAAGGACCATGATTCTGTAGCACACGTACGACATCCCCGACACCTGGCGGAGACTCTCCAAAACATCTTCATCTTGCCCATTACTTCCCGCTATGGCGTCGTAATCAGCCACTATGCCATCAGCAGCCTTCATGGCCACTTGAGACTGGACGTTTTGAGCTAACACTTCAACCAGCTCATACTGTTTGTCATAGATAGATTCAAGCGTAGATACTAACTTTTCAATTTTCACTGCGGTTGTCCAGCATAGGCCATTTGAACCTATGAATGCTTTGGGTGCTGCAGCCAGAGAGGTAGAGGAACCCTCGATGATCTTACATGCTTCTTCAAGAACCTTATTAAAGTAAACAGCCATTTCAGTAACATCTGGTTTAGTAACTGCAGGTACGTAATCATTATACTTTTTCAAAAATCTGTCCTTAGCAGCCTCAAAGTCGTCCGGCTTTTTGTCTTGAGTTATTGATTCCATTATAGTTTTCATATCGCCAATAAATTCTTTATTTTTCGCAAACCCATTTCTGACGCGATTGATGTGCCCCCTAAGGGCATGTATGGCGATAACTAGCCTTGTAGCTGATCCTAGCGTTGCTACGGCGTTCGCCAACTCAGCCGTCGCATCCATGACATCAGACACAGAAGAATCGGTCGCTGCCTTCAAGGGATTGCAACTTTCAGCCATAACTACGGCGAACTTAATAGTTTTCTCAGTCACTTCTAAGGCAGCAGATGTCATCATGAAACCAATTACTATCGAAATGTCTGAGTCTATCTCAGGTGCTAGAGTTCTTGCTGATTGTGTCAGGTTATTTAACTGATGGAAAACTATCAAATCGGCTTTAGCTTTTGCAGCACTAAAACTGTGAATCTTTTTAAAGTATGTTTTGAGCTCATAAAATCGCTGGTTGATGACCTTGCTAAATTCATTCTTTAAGTCGTCTGCAACTGCCACCAGGTTATACTCCTGGTCGCCTAGGAACTGAAGAACCCTCTCCATCTGTTTCTGTCTGAGGAACTCTCGAAGGTCAAGGTCGGTGTTCAACAAAAGCACTTTGACACCTTTACCTGTCGCCGGTTGGCGAGACTTGATGTAGACTCTGGTTTGGTCAACTACTCTCCAGAACAAGCACATCTTCCCACTGTTACATATCTTGTCTGTGTTGAAGTATGGAAACATCGACATCAGAATCTCCAACTTCTCGTCTGCGCCATCATCAATGTACATTGCCACTGCTCTGATGATCTGTGTGATGACTGCTTGTTGAACTGTTGTGTTGTGAGGTTGTATGGCATTGACTCGACCATGGTATTTCCACTTGAGAAGGATTGAACTAAATGTCAGAGCATTGAAATAATGATTAACGTCTTCATCATCCCATCTCCCTATCTTTTCTTGATGTGCAATAAACCTCTTGGCACGTTCTATTAATTGTAAAACGTCTCTCAATAGACAGTCGGGCCCCTCATGATCCGGGCTACATAACGTATAAGCCTCTGACTGCAGAACATCAAACGTCAGATTTTCTGAGAATATCTGCCCAAGTATGCGTTGATATTTGTTTTTATCATGAATTCTCTGAACATTTGGAAAATCGTCGTAGAGGCCGTTGATAAAGTTGGTGTCGTCACAGAACCGATGAATCTCAGGATGTAGCGTCATAAGACGACGGTACGTGTACTGGATCAAGTTGTCGACGTCGTCATCGTCACCTCTACGAGAGTTGGTCACCGGAAGTGTCTTTATGTCTTCCTTCAGTTTCTCAAATAGCGCCAAGCGCCGCAAGTAGACACACACCCCGTGGTTGGAGTTGTCTGCGTTCTGGCACATTTTCTTTGCGAACTCCATGGACTTATATATGGGAATGTACCCTCGCGATTGTAACTGTTCGAAAACAAGTTGGAAGTTCTTCTCTGCTGATTTGAGAAAGGTTGATGCCCTCGATGACGTGATGTTCCGGCACAGCAGGGTGTAGAAACCAATCTCTGAAACGCAAATGAGGGTTAGCTGGTTATTTTGTTTGTATGTTTGTTTGTTGTTTAACGCTACGCTCAGCAATATTTCAGCTATTTAACAGCGGTCTGTAAATAATCGAGCCTGGACCAGACAATCCAGGGATTGGCATTATTAGCATAGATCTACTCATTTGGGATACCATGACATGCATCAACCAAGTCCGCGAGCTTGACCACCCGATCCCGTTAGTCGCCTCTTACGACAAACATGGGTTGCTGAAGACCTATTCAAAGTCAAAGTCAAAATTAGTTTATTTGTGTGTAGGCCTTTGGCCCATATACAAGAAATGCAGTGCCAATAATACAATGTGAAGCACATTGCATAGATTTTACGACTTCATGTCTTGTTTATACGCATAATATACATAATATTGCGGGCTTTTTAATAATTCATCATGAGTTGTACACAATATTTTTTTGAATTTATATATAGTTGGAAACTTCCAATACAATTCTGGCAAATAGACTTTACGCAACTCAGTATAATGTTGACAGATCAATACGAAATGATATTCATCTTCAACAGACATATTGCTAACAGGACACATACGTAAACGTGATTCAATAGATTGCCATCTACCCTTGTTCTGTCGCAAAGGTAAAACGTTACATCTTAATTTAATAAAAACACTGCGTACATGATTGCCATTGTAAATGCTCAAATATCTTTCAGGTTCAAACAATGTTTTATATTCTTTATACATCATATATGGGGTACTACTGTTGAGTGTTGACATCCAGTTTTGACGAAATTCATCTAGAAGACACGTTTTAAGCACCCCAATGAAAGCTACATTGTCCCCAACAGACTGGTTTAACCATACAAATCCCAAACCATGCGAAAATAAAATTCTAACCCGGATCTTCACGGGTCAAATCCAAGAATGACAGTCATGACCATGACCACCTGTATACCCTACCTTCACAGACAGGCGCCGGCTTGTCGTATCTGCCATCCCTCAAACACGTAAAGGAGTTGTCCGCTAGCACCTCGTAGCCGGAGTCGCACACCACGCTGCACTTCTCCCCGTACCGCGCTCCCTGGTTGCACGTGGTCCGGCCGTGCCGGATGTCACCAATACTCAGGCACTGCGCACCTGGCCAAATAGAGGTGATATTTTAAAGGGAGTATGTTCCACGCTCTGGTGATATGTCCGACATAGGTATAGACGCTGTGATTAGTGTGGGGAATGTATTCGTCCATATAATTTCTATACAGTTTTGGTAATTTACAAACTACTATGTTGATCCTTGACAGGGACACGCAAGGGTGCACAGGGACACACACAATGGTACACTGGAACACACACTAGGATGCACAGAAACACACACAAGGGTGCACAGAAACACACACAAGGATGCACAGAAACACACACAAGGGTACACTGGAACACACACTAGGATGCACAGAAACACACACAAGGGTACACAGGGACACACACACACACAAGGATGCACAGAAACACACTAGGGTACACAGGGACACACAAACAAGGATGCACAGAAACACACACAAGGGTACAGAGGGACACACACACACAAGGATGCACAGAAAAACACACAAGGATTCCAACGAATACACACAAGGGTACAGAGGGACACACAAGGATGCACAGAAACACACACAAGGGTACACAGGGACACACACAAGGGTACACAGAAACACACTAGGGTACACATGGACACACACACAAGGATGCACAGAAACACACACAAGGGTACAGAGGGACACACACACAAAGTTGCACAGAAACACACACAAGGATTCCAAGGAATACACACACGGGTACACAGGGACACACAAGGATGCACAGAAACACACACAAGGGTACACATGGACACACACAAGGATGCACAGAAACACACACAAGGATTCCCACGAATACACACAAGGGTACACAGGGACACACACAAAAGGATGCACAGAAACACACACAAGGACTCCCACGAATACACACAAGGGTACACAAGGACACACACAAAAGGATGCACAGAAACACACACACAAGGATTCCCACGAATATACACAAGGGTACACTAGGGCACACACTAGGGAACAGAAACACACACAAGGGCACACAGGGACACACACAAGGATGCACAGGGACACACACAAGGGCACACAGGGACACACACAAGGATGCACAGGGACACACACAAGGGCACACAGGGACACACATTAGGATGCACAGGGACACACAAAAAGGTGCACAGTGATACACACACGTGTGTGTTGCACAAAAACACACACAATAATGCACAGGGACACACAAGGGTGGACACACACAAGGATGCACAGAAACAGACACAAGGATGCACAGAAACACATATCAGGATGCACAGGGATAAACACAAGGGTGGACAGGGAGACACAAGGGTGGACACACACACAAGGATGCAATGAAATACACACAAGGATGCACAGGGACATCACATAAGGATGCACAGGAATACACATGGGGGTGCACAGGGACACACAAGGATGCACAGAAACACACACAAGGGTACACATGGACACACACAAGGATGCACAGAAACACACACAAGGATTCCCACGAATACACACAAGGGTACACAGGGACACACACAAAAGGATGCACAGAAACACACACAAGGACTCCCACGAATACACACAAGGGTACACAAGGACACACACAAAAGGATGCACAGAAACACACACACAAGGATTCCCACGAATATACACAAGGGTACACATGGACACACACTAGGGAACAGAAACACACACAAGGGCACACAGGGACACACACAAGGATGCACAGGGACACACACAAGGGCACACAGGGACACACACAAGGATGCACAGGGACACACACAAGGGCACACGGGGACACACACAAGGATGCACATGGACACACACAAGGGCACACAGGGACACACACAAGGATGCACAGGGACACACACAAGGGCACACAGGGACACACACAAGGATGCACAGGGACACACACAAGGGCACACAGGGACACACATTAGGATGCACAGGGACACACAAAAAGGTGCACAGTGATACACACACGTGTGTGTTGCACAAAAACACACACAATAATGCACAGGGACACACAAGGGTGGACACACACAAGGATGCACAGAAACAGACACAAGGATGCACAGAAACACATATCAGGATGCACAGGGACAAACACAAGGGTGGACAGGGAGACAAGGGTGGACACACACACAAGGATGCAATGAAACACACACAAGGATGCACAGGGACATCACATAAGGATGCACAGGAACACACATGGGGGTGCACAGGGACACAAACACAAGGATGCACAGGGAGACACACAAGGAAGCACTGGAATAGACAAAGGTTTACAGGAATACACGAAGGGGTACACAGGAACACACACAAGGATGCACAGGGACACAAACACAAGGATTCACAGGGACACACAAGGGCGGACAGGGAGACACGAAGATTGACAGGGAGACACAAGGGTGGACAAGAACACACAAGGATGCACAGAGACACACTCAGGTGCACAGAGACACACTAAGGTGCACAGGGAGACACATTAGAGTACACAGGCAGACACACAGGGGTACACAGGGATACACAAGGACATGGAGACACATAGGGATGCACAGGTGCACACAGATTTGTGCACAGGGACACACACAGGGGACAGATGGGGCCTGTGCGGTACACCTTACCTTCCACTGTGATGGTGAATGTACAGTGGTCACTCCTGCCCTCCTTGTCGGCCGCAGTGTACTTGACGATGTGGGTACCTACAGTCAGCATGGAACCAGGGCTCGGCGAGAACTTGTTCAACGTCGGACTGAAACGAACGTTATATTTGTCAAAAGTGAGCACCTTGATTTCAACCATGAAAAGATTTGGAAAATACCTGTCGACGCCCAGTTGACGGTACACATGCTCTGCAAATCCTGCAATCGATCGATTGCACGGCAGTCGCCATTTTGTTTATCAACCGTATGGCGATTTCGTTACGAGATTTTGATTTTGACTCATTAGTCCAGCCAAAATGTTACTCTAATACCAGCCTAGTTCGGCAAGGTTGGATACTGGATTTTATAGTAGGCCTGGGACGAGTCCAAATTTACTACCCGGGTACCCACCACCTTATTACCCGACCCTACCCGGGTACCCGCCACCCCATTACCCGACCCTACCCGGGTACCCGCTGTAGATATTTAGAGATAGGTACAAATGTCCGATTTCGAAAAGTTTGAACGTAGCCCTGGCAAAATAAAACACGTGTAAAACGATCCGGTCATGATACACTGAAGTTTCTGCATGAAGGTATATCTTTAATCAAACATATACAAGTCAGAAGGAACGGGTGCGTTTTCAGAAAGAAATGGGAACATCAGTGACTTATAGTGTAACCATAGAGTTCAGATATTTTTTGTCATTAAACAATATATCACGTGACAAACAACGGGTCTGGGTAGTCCCGTGGGTACCCGGGTCCTACTCAGGATCCACCCGACCCAAGTACCCGAGGTACCCGTCCCAGCCCTATTTAATAGTCAGTTAACTCCCTCACCTCGGGAAGATGCGCCTACTGCAGAGTTGCGTCCCTTAGTCATTCATTTCATTTGACTTTAAACCAATTTGGTGTTTACATGAGGATATTTACATGACTTTCCCCTGTTCGGGGTCGCTGGCGATCGGTACTTCCCAGGTGACAGTGGCTGACCCTTGACCCGGCTTCACCAACTTAGTAAACGACTGCGGGCAGTCGATGGATGGAGGGAGGTTCCCGACTGCAACAGACACAAAGCAATAACTAGCACACGTGTAGTAGGTTAAAGTCTAGCCCTTATTAAATCACTCTCGGTGAAGGATCAAGAAGGGTTATTGTCAAGGAAATAAGACCGAGGCAAGAGGGTATCGGCAATGTCTTCGATTTTGGAACAGTGGACGTTTGAAACACTAAGTCCAAGTTCCATCTGCTACTCAACTCATCAGGAAAAAGTAAAACTTTATACCAGGTCTTACTAGTAAAAGGTAAAACCTGATACCAGGTCTTACTAGTAAAAGTTAAAACCTGATACCATGTCTTACTAGTAACAGTTAAAACCTGATACCAGGTCTTACTAGTAAAAGGTAAAACCTGATACCAGGTCTTACTAGTAAAAGGTAAAACCTGATACCAGGTCTTACTAGTAAAAGGTAAAACCTGATACCAGGTCTTACTAGTAACAGGTAAAACCTGATACCAGGTCTTACTAGTAACAGGTAAAACCTGATACCAGGTCTTACTAGTAAAAGGTAAAACCTCATACCAGGTCTTACTAGTAACAGGTAAAACCTCATACCAGGTCTTACTAGTAACAGGTAAAACCTCATACCAGGTCTTACTAGTAAAAAGTAAAACCTGATACCAGGTCTTACTAGTAAAAGATAAAACCTGATACCAGGTCTTACTAGTAAAAAGTAAAACCTGATACCAGGTCTTACCAGTAAAAAGTCAAACCTCCTTCCAGGTTTTACCAGTAAAAAGTAAAACCTGATACCAGGTCTTACTAGTAAAAAGTAAAACCTCCCAAGAGATGATACCGTGATAAAAAAAAACCTACAGTACAATCGACAACAGTGGTAATAGGTCAAGGCTCAGATCACTCCCCGTTGGACTACAATCAGTCCCCTACATGTTTGCAGTGTTTAACTACTGTTCGTTATTGACATACAGTTCTAGAGCTTTGTGATGTTCATATGACCTACGTCCTAGCTGTACAGGTAGTAGGTGATTATCGACATACATCATTATTTTGTAGACGGTTTGCAGATTTCGAATTAACATGTGCCGTCTGTCACTCTCACAATTCTCAAAGGATGTTGATTTAACGTAAAAAGGGTCAGATCTCTTAAAGCAGATGTCATTATAATTGAACATTATATGCTCTTGACATAACATATATGCATGTGTAAAACTGACCCACTTCTGCTAGTCTACCCATCACCTGGTACCTGTGTAAAACTGACCCACTTCTGCTCGTCTACCCATCACCTGGTACCTGTGTAAAACTGACCCACTTCTGCTAGTCTACCCATCACCTGGTACCTGTGTAAAACTGACCCACTTCTGCTAGTCTACCCATCACCTGGTACCTGTGTAAAACTGACCCACTTCTGCTAGTCTACCCATCACCTGGTACCTGTGTAAAACTGACCCACTTCTGCTAGTCTGCCCATCACCTGGTACCTGTGTAAAACTGACCCACTTCTGCTAGTCTACCCATCACCTGGTACCTGTGTAAAACTGACCCACTTCTGCTAGTCTGCCCATCACCTGGTACCTGTGTAAAACTGACCCACTTCTGCTAGTCTACCCATCACTTCGGACCGTCTGTTGTTCCGATCTTCTGCTGATCCCCGTTTTACATGCGAGTGTGTAAAAAATATGTATTGCAGTCACCTAAAGAAGATCTTATATTGCATATTGATTTTAAAGAAATAAGAAAGAGAAAAATAGAATGGAAGACTATTTGTTCATCGTAAGCCAAACGTCGAATCATTTAAAAACATGTTTTTGTCCAAATTATAATTAAGAAGTCTTGTCCGTGAGGAGATGCTGACTAAACAAATCGCCTTTTGTACAGTGTCAGTGTGATGGCCACTCAGTGTTCAAGCGTTGAATGAAGAAACATTCCCTCGAATCCCCTCAACACATACATCAAACATTAGACAAACAGTCATTTGGTACATTTAACAACTTTCTAAATGGCATTGTGTGCTCATAACTAAATGTTGAAACGAAGTTCGTTATCCACCATCGTCAAATCATGTCCATTGACGCGTTCGGTTGCACATCAAAATAAGATGTATCTAGCCTGAATGGGACTACATCATATTTCAAAACAGACTAGGTGTATCGATCGCCTAATTCACATCCTGAATTACACCTTGATTAAAGAATAGCTCACCTGACACTCCCTGAATTACACCTTGATTAAGGAATAGCTCACCTGACACGTGGAGAAAACAGGCCAGGACTGCAGTCAGAAGAACATCCATGATGGCATCTGCAGACCCAGGTCAGTCCGAGGCTATATACATACGTGTTACTGTAACGTAGTCTATCACTGGATTAAGGAACTTGACAATACGTGTTTCTGTGGCCAGTGATAACAGACCTACAATACGTAAACACCAATTATGACGTTGACGTAAGCGTGTGTTTACTAACACCTCAATAGCAACATTGTTGACATAGACTATCGTACGCTGATAAGCGATTCTAAGAAATCCTTTATCTCAATTAAAGTTGCCGGAACAATGGCCCTGGTCTCCCGCCCTGTGTGTTTTTGTATGTGTGTGTTGATAGGGTGGGGGTGGGGTGGGGTGGGTGGGGGGGGGGGGGGGGGGGGGGGGGGGGTGTGCGCGCGATAAGGAGAGAGACTATATGCAATATATGCTGGACTGGCTGCCTTTGGTAAGTGGATAACAGATTGCCTGTGAAATATGCTGGACTGTTTGTAACTGACGTGTACATGTAGATCTGATTGTGAGATATCGTGAACTCATTGGGACATATGTCTGGACGTGTTGGAGGACTCCGCTTCATTCACTTTCTCTGGGAAACAGGATGTCGCTGTACGGAGCTTGGCTAAGAAACAGGTCGTCTGTAATCGGTATCCTACACGAGTTTTCCCAGTAATTCCTTTGCGATGAAACCAATTTCAGAACGACCTTTCGCGAACTTTGACCGACCAATGAAATGACTAACAAGAAGTCGCCATTCGCCAATAAGAAAGCAACTCTCGCAGGTTTACGGCACTGGCGATTTCCATTCCAGACTTCGCTTTGAAAAACAATTTCCTAGTTTTCGATTCGAAATTTGAAAACTGAAAAAAGAAAATTCTGGGATGTCTTATAGATGGCCAAAGGTGTATGACAGTGCTTCCCAGGATCTATGGAAAGTCACATCCGTTTTAAATGTTTATTCCATTGAAGCGAGAGATAGACAACAATTTTGACGGAAAACGTACACGCCGTAATTGTGGTTCTGAATACGGAATAAGGAATAACCTCTTCGAGGTTACATGATAAAAAACACATTCCGACCGACACTTTTCAGATCTGGTAAGCGGCGCTCTGATTGGTCGGATGACAGACCGTTCTGACGTGACCCGTAATGGGATGTCCTCAATCTTTGTGTAGATGTAGCGAGAACCGAGATTTAATTTTAATGAGATTGGGGTGAAACCTAATGGTACATTGGTGGTGTGACAGTACTGTTATAGTGCAAACCATTTCAATACGCTTCTTTAAAGCTTCATTTATTTAAAATACCTAATTGTTTCGATATGTTTCCAAGCGTACCGAAATGATCTTCTCCTTTTTTAAAATTATACAGCAAACATTCGTCGTATCCCCTCTAATCATAAGCTCCCTCCGGACAGGCCCCTTAGTCTCTGGAGCTATCTATAAATGTCACCTTTCACATCGCCTGGTCTAACGTATGTACAGGTCCGAGGGTCACTGACCTTGCCCCACATGAGATGTAGCGGACATGGTAGTTTGAAGTAGAGTAGGTAGATGGTTTATATGAGATGTAGCGGACATGGTAGTTTGAAGTTGGTGAGGCAGAGGGTTTATATGAGATGTAGCGGACATGGTAGTTTGAAGTAGGTGAGGTAGAGGGTTTATATGAGATGTAGCGGACATGGTAGTTTGAAGTAGGTGAGGTAGGGGGTTTATATGAGATGTAGCGGACATGGTAGTTTGAAGTAGGTGAGGTAGATGGTTTATATGAGATGTAGCGGACATTGTAGTTTGAAGTTGGTGAGTTAGAGGGTTTACATGAGATGTAGCGGACATGGTAGTTTGAAGTTGGTGAGGTAGAGGGTTTATATGAGATGTAGCGGACATGGTAGTTTGAAGTAGGTGAGGCAGAGGGTTTATATGAGATGTAGCGGACATGGTAGTTTGAAGTAGGTGAGGTAGGGGGTTTATATGAGATGTAGCGGACATTGGAGTTTGAAGTAGGAAAGGTAGGGGATTTATATGAGATGCAGCGGACATGGTAGTTTCAAGGAGGTAGATCTCATGTAAACCCTGTACCTTGCCTACTTCAAACTCCAATGTCCGCTACATAATGTGAACCGCATCAAAGGTGATGTCATGTGTGATTGTAACCGTTGAAAGTGGCCCCAAACTGAGCTCCGCTATTTGCATATGTGATGACCCCCACGGATAACGGGGTGGTGGCACGTGGTCCTGTGCACAGCGCGCATGTCACAAATCAGGCGAAGTTAAGCAACGTCGGTCCTTGGATAGGTGATCGTTTTCCGCAGCTTGACTCCGGAGACTTTCTACTGAGTGAGTGAGTGAGTGAGTGAGTGAGGGAGGGAGGGAGGGAGGGAGGGAGGGAGGGAGGAGTGAGTGAGTGAGTGAGTGAGTGAGCGAGTGAGTGAGTGAGTGAGTGAGTATGGTTTAACGCCGCTTTTAGTATTATTCAAACAATATCCCGGCGGGTGAAACCAGAAATGGGCTTGTACATTGTATTCATGTGGGGAATAGAACCTGGGTCTTCGGTGTGATGAGCGAACCCTTTGCTCCCCCACCGCCTCGAAGGCGTCTGTCACACATGTAGCATATACCGCAAGTGTCTTTGTTCGAAATATGCCTGTGTTTACCCAGCAGTGAAAGGGTACCCGGTAGGGTGAGATGTTGTATGACTCGTCTGACATCTCACAGGCAGGCTGAGGTTCTGAGAAAGAATATCAGTTGCATTGATAATAATATTGGCGCTATCATTTTGAGCATGCGTCAACGGATGGACTAATGCGCATTACAAATATCCATTTATTAATTATTATGATATCGTTTTAATCTGTTGGCTTTATCATGCCGAGAAACCTTCCCATTACATGTTGAAATGAATGATCCTTTCGTGTACAAACGACTAAAGTGATAGAAGCGTCCTGTAAATATCCCGTTATGTCGCTCAAACATGGTGACAGCGTTCTTGATTTAGGCTATATGCATACCATAAATTCGAGTCAATCGCGTTCGATTAAAAATCAACTTCCATCAAATCTCATGAATATTAACATATCTCCAAATGCAACAAAGTACCATATTTACAATCTGATTTCAATCATTTTTATTTACTAAGTATTTGTAAGTATAATGTTAAATTTTTAAGATATAATTAAATTACACCGTGAAGAAACTGTGTAAACGGAGGCCTTGAAAGAATATAGCGCACGGCGTTCGTGGTTCAGGCCTATAACGCAGTTAGAAACAAAACATTCGTTTTACCTTCCAGGATACAAGGAAGTAAAATTTTAAAAAATCACATCGCTAGTTATGGTTCATATTCTGTGAGTTTTACATTATTTCATCCAGTGTACATCGTAATAACATTATATCTCCTTGATAAATATTACGTCAGTTTCCTCATTTTGCATAGTTATTGTATAACTGTTACAGTCTAAATGATATTTCATAGGGCAACCCAAACTCAAATGATGTCAATGAATTTATTGATAAAGTTGCCAATTATGTTTGGTGTTAATATGTTTTGTTTGTTGTTTAACGCCGTACTCAGCAACATTCCATCCATATGACCACGGCCATTAAATCATTGAGTCTAGACCAGACAATCCAGTGATCCAAGCCGTCAGGGTAACCAGCAACCAAACCCGTTCTAATCCTGAATCTCAATTGGGATGCTTTTAATGGTCAGTCAGTTAGTTGGTTTTAAAGCCGCTCTGAGCAGTATTGCAGTTATATCACGGCGTGTCAGCTTAATGTGGGAGGAAAGACCGAAGTAATGCAGGTCTCAGACGCTTACCACTTTGGTGAAACCCACGAGCACAGGTGTGGTGCTGACAGACCTGAAATCATAATCGTGGTGAACCGGGATTCGAACCCACGATCACATGTTTCTGGCGTGGCAGCTATGTAAGGCGAATTGCGGCACATTAGGTTTGTTTGTTTGTTGTTTAGCGCCTCACTCATGCATCAATCAAGTCAGCGAGCCTGTCCACTCGGTTCCATTAGTCGCCTTTTACGGCAAGCATGGGTTACTGAAGACCTATTTTCTACCCGGATCTTCAAGGGTCGCGGTGCCACCCGTGCACACATGTCTAAGGATAATGTTCACTGCATGAATCAATGTGTTGATCAGGCTGTACTGTTGAAAAGGAAAGTATCAAGTAAGCTCCCCTGGTCACAGTCATAAACAAAACACATTTTCATCAACTATTTTCTCATATTTTATTACACATTTAGATCAAGATGTTGACATTTTTGGTGTTTTTATGGAAACCATCATTGGACAGAAGCAGTGAGAGAGGAAGATCGGTGGTTCGATGCCCTGGCAGCGTCATAACAAAAGACGTTACCCTCTGTAGCACTTTTGTTTAGGGGATATAACTAGAACTTCTCGTCTCGGAGTATAATATGTGTGAGTGGGGCATCCATGTTAAATAGCAGTATAGTAACTCAGTAGCCCCGACCCGACATTAATCAGGACAAGTACAATCACCCCACACACTCCCAGATGCATGCACGTCGCTATACAAGTGTAATAATCATGAGCGCGAGGTTAAACACAATTTCACCTCACTAACACATTAACCATTTCATTGCCACGGACCATCTCGTGAGAACAGGGTTGAACCCGTCTTCTAATCGGCTTGCTTCTCACAGTAATATCCCCGGAGCGCCACGGTTGAGTTATTCGGGCAGTTCCGACAAGCCATATGCCGCCCGGACCAGTACTGTTCTTCTGGACAACAGGTGCTTGGCAATCGATTCCGCCCCTGATACCGGAACTGATCCTGAAACTGCTGATCACTCCTTGACGGTATGTACGCACAGGTTCGCACAGCCACCTTGACTGGTACTGGCGTTGTTGAGTTCGGGACAGGGAGATCCTCATACCCGTTTATACGTATTTTGAAACGGGAGAAAATAGATGGGTGCAGGACCCTATCTCCTCCATCCACGAAACAGGAGTATTCTGTTTTGGGGCATACATCAGGGATCTTGTTGGTGTGGCAGGTTGTGTAGGGGTTGTCATAGCCCCGGTGCTGTCGGCAGTTCACTCCATGTCCGACCTTGTACTCAAACACCATTGGTCGCGATGGGTTGATGGTATAC